TTTAGCCTCCTGATGAAAGCATGAAGGTTCACTGGGTGCAACCAAAAGCTATAATTTGTGTCCTGGGATCGCCTCTAACCTCAAAATTTATTTTGGCCAATACAGATTTTTTTTCCCCTTTTGCTGGCCAAACAGAACGATTTGTGTAAAGTGGAAACAAGCAGGCCTCATTTTTGTTTTCTGATTAAAGTTTGTGTATTCGTAGTCTGCTGAAACCACTTTTTATGCCCTGAAACAATGCAATAACAAACGTCGAGCTCGTTTAAAACAACTGTTTTCAAAGTGAGAAGAAAAGCCACCTTGTAAAAAAGAAGAACAAAAAGACTGCAGCTCTTGTAACGTTCACTCTTTACACCAGCCAAATAAACACAAGAGAAGAAACGAGCAGCGAGTGGACTGCATGTGAAAATGCTTATTAAACTGAAATTTTAGCCTTTTGTGAAGCTGCAGCAGCTTACAATACTGTAACCTTTGAGCTACGGCTAATCAGACGGTTTGGAATGAAACAGACAAAATGCAGAACACCAAATCTCATTTATATAAACAGCCAGTAATAATATGAAGATTAACACTTCAGCAGCTGAAAATGTGTCTTTTTTTAATCCTCTTTCACCTGTTCCCTTTAGGAGTCACTACAGTAGAACATCTGCCTCATCTCATCCCATTTCTAGCATCCTCCTGTGTCACACAACACTCTGCAGACCATCCTTCATCTCTGGCATTTCCATATTCAACATCCTTTCTCCAATATATCAACTATCCTTCCTGTGCACGTGTCAAAACCAGTCCCCCTCTAAACAAACGGCTTAACCTGAGCTGTCCCTCTGATATACCACCCCTGTCCTTTTCAGTCTTTCCCAGTTAACATCTTAGCAACTTCATCTTCTCCATCTTCACCTCTTGTCTTTTGTATTTATCTCACTACCATCTTGCAAACTTTTCCTTTCTTAGGGGCAGCTGGGGCTGAGTGGTTAGAGCAGTTATCCTCCAATGGGAGAGTTGGGGGTTCAATTCCACCAGCAGTTGCATGTTGAAGTGTCCCTGGGCAAGACACTGAACACCTCATTGCCTCCGATGTGTGTCCCATCAGTGTATGAATGTGAAAAGCTCTGATTATTCTCTACAGATTCAGATCTAGTAGAGTGATGTATGAACAGGTAAATGAGACAGATTTTACTGTAAAATGCTTTGAATATCTTGACAAGATAGAAAGGTGCTGTATACTAAACAGATTCTGGTCACAACTTGAGACATCGTAGGACTGTGAGCATCAGTGCACACAGGACTCACCTACACAGGAGCTTTTCTCCAGCCACTGTTCAATTAGTGGCACAGGACATTAAATATGGCAGGAACTATTCAGTGCTGCAACACAAAATGTGATAAACGGGCAGCATCTAAACTGAACTTAGACAATTTTACATTTGTTTTAATTGTACATTGTTGCCTAGTTTATCTTTAATTTTTTATCTTTTTATAAACTTTTACTATTCTTGAGTTGGAGAAATGCACAAACACTCTGATGTGCTTATACTAATGCATCTGTGCAAATGGAAAAAATTATATTCTGTACGTGCAGTCCATTCACCTCTCTTTTCACTCCTGCAGCTCTCTTCTCGTCACAAATCTCCCAACACTTGTCTCCATCCTGTCTATACCTTCTTCTTCACCTGTCTCTTTAGATAGTTGACCCTTGAACCCCTGAACACCTTGCAGCTTCATTGTTTCACTTTACATCTCATTCAGACACATGGATTCTGGTTTGGTCTCCACTGACCATCACTCCTGTTTTCTCTAAAGCAGACTTCCACTACCAGCCTAAGCCTTCCTCAACAAATCCTACAAAACTATTCTATTATTTTCCACTTTGGAGTGAGCTGTTGGGGGAAGAATCAGTTTTGTGTTGTGTGTTTCCTTGACTGATGAAGCCTTCTGGATGGAAGGTGAAACGTTTCAGCACAAAATAAGAAACTGTCCAGATGACCCGACTGAAAATTGTTGGGTTGTATACCTGGATTATTGAGCATGGACTTTGTTGGTATTCTATTAACAATTCTATCACATAACTAGACTTTTAAGTCTTTGAGCCTCAGATAAACTACATGGTATGTTAAGTGTTGCCAGGACTGATGTGGAGATCAGCACCTTTAAAACCAAGCTTTCAGAACAACGCCAACCTGAACCCTGGCCAAAGGACTTCTGTCTGCAGCCTGAAGTAATCATCAGATTATGTACAAAAACTGTGTTCAGAAACGTAATATTTTTGTAAGTGAATGGAAAAATATGTAATATGTATGTGATACAAAACAAACAAACATCTTACTGATGGAAAAAAAAAATTATCTAGTTTTTCCACAGTAAAAGAAACCAACCATGCTGTCAAGAGCAAACTGAAACAAGAGGAGAAGGAAGTTTACCAGCTGGTTAAACACAAGAACTAACTAGAGAGTTCCTGGAGAAACTCCCACTGTCCCTCCTCTGGACATGTCCAAACCATCTCAGTCTGGTCTCTAACTTTATCTCCCAGTTGTTCAACCTGTGCTGTACCTCTGATTATCTCATTCCTAATCTTATCCATTCTTGTCACTCCTAAGGAGAACCTCAACATCTTCATTTCTGCCACTTCCAGTTCTTTCTCCTGTCTTTTTGTCCATGTCTCTGTCTCCAGACCATACAACATAGCTGGTCTCACCACTGTCTTGTAAACTTGTCCTTTGACCTTTACTGGCACCCTTTTGTCACAAATCACTCCTGAAACTTTTCTCCATCCACTCCATCCTGCCTCGACTCCCTCTTCACCTCTTTACCACACTCCCCAGTTTCTTGGACAGTGGACCCCAAGTCCTTGAAGTCCTGCACCTTTGTGACCTCTGCTCCTTGTAGCCTCACTGTTCCACCAGCCTCCATCTCATTCACACACATAAACTCTGTCTTACTACGGCTAACTTTCATTCTTCTTCTTTCAAGTGCATACCTCCACCTCTCCAAGTTCTCTTCCACCTGTTCTCACCACAGATCACAATGTAATCTGCAAACATCATAGTCCAGATGTGATATGCCATGGTAACTCGACATGCGAATGAAAGTAATAGCACACACAGTCTGAGCCGGTCACTTTGATATAAAATGTGTGGGGGTACACATTGCGGTTCAGGCCACATTAAAGTTGATAGAAGAGCAAGACCCTTGTCAGGTGGATACTAATACAGTAGGTGGCTGCATTAGGCAGTCCCTGACAAAAAGACACCCACAGAAACTCAGAGTTAAAGAGGAAGTGATTGCAGACACAGTTTGGGTAAAACATGTTATGTAATATCCTCTTGAACTGTGTCAATAGTGAGAAAGTTTGGCGCAGGACTAAACTTCAAGATGAGGGTTTTTTTGTTGTAAATACATAAAATAAAATAAAAATCACTAAAGAGGATGTTGCTACATTTAAACTGCATTTACTCTGGTCCAGACTAATATCTGTCTTTCTCAACACAAAATGTATATACTGTAATTGAGAAACAGAAATTCTCAGGGATATTTTAAAAACCAAAATCATCTAAAGTGGAATTAGGTTTGTTTCATTCATTCTTTAATCTTATCTTTAGCAGAATCTAATATCTCCATTTCTGGCTGAATGAATCACTGATATACAAACAAATTTTAAACATCGCACTTACACACAAACTACTTTTTCCACACAGTTATACACTGAAAAACACATACAAAAAAAAGGACCAATGCACAGTTTCTATTTTTTTTAGAGTTTTCCCGAGCCGTCATGAACAAACAGGTCAGCGTGCGGCAATCAGCTCCCCACACAGATAGTGACTTCTTTCAACTCCACTATCACATTTTATCAGCCTGCCTGGCAGCTCACACAAGAGCGGTGGACGGACTGCAACCTTTTATCAGCCGTGAACAGCTCTCATTGTGAAATATACTCTGAACATACTCTGGGTGTGTATTCTTGATAGTACAACTGTAAATGAATCACCAAACAAACCAGAATAAATAATGAGAGACCAGAAAACAGCTCCGAGGGTAAAAATAGACTGGTACAAGAGCTGAAACTGAGCTTGGCTGGGATTTTAAAAAGAGATGGACTCAGTGTTTGCATAAGGCCAGCTGTCTGAGGGTCAGTCAGCACCATGGACAGAGAGCCCGTGGCCCCAGCTTGACCTCTGGGGCCCCGTCCCACCACTGCAACAAACAACACTAGAAAGCTCAAAGGGCAGTGAAACACATCATTGTTATAGATGTGCACCTGGCAGAGGTAACAGAAAAAGATCCACTGTTGATGCTCTTTTGACATGCAGAGTCACACCAGTGTCTCGTGATGTACAAGAAACTTACTCAGCATTATTTTGTTGATGACAGTGCAACTTTTTGCTGACTCCTGTTCCTCCTTAAGGAACATGAATCGGTTTTATTTATATTTGCATGATGTTAAGCCTGTTACAGGAGGTTAAATCATAGTGTCCATTATTATTCTCACAGCACTGTCTCTGCAGCAGCAGAGGGTTGAGGACAGAAGCCCCTCTCTGTGTGGCAGCAGCGTTTGGACATTTTAAATCTAAATATAACCCTCTGAAGCTGGCATCCTGGCTAATGTTACACACACTTGTTGCTCCACAGCTCAGTCAGAAAAACAAGACAGTCATTGTACACTTGTTGCTCCTTTGTAGCTAAAGGGTAAAAAACAAACAAGAGTCAGTTATGTGTGATACTAACTAGGTAGAAAATGTTAGCCTTGTTGCAAGTTTAAACAGTCGTTATCAGTTTTAACTCGTCCCTGGTGAGATTTAACACGCTCAGAAACTCGACCAGACTTTGTCTCTCACATTATCACAGAACACAGCTGTAGTTCATCTTATTTTGATGTTTTAGAGTGAGCGTGTTGGCGCTCAAAGTTGTAGTTTAGTTATTTCCGACAGCATTTGAACGCACCTTGTGAACCGTTCGTTCACTCGAACGAGCAGGAGCGGATTAACGTCCGCGAGCGCGCTCACCTTGTTCAGGTGGGGGGTTCGGGTCACATCGTAGCCCCTCTTCTTGGTGTAAGCGACGGCTTTGTCCTTGGATCCGTGCATCTCCGTGTCCACAGACTCCCCCCGGACATGAGCCATGTTGCTGCTGTCGCCTCTTTAAATAGAGCCACTCTGGGGCCGTGAACTCATCAAGTGGATGCGCGGGTCCGGGTCCAGGTCTGTGTCTGGTTTAAGAAGGCTCCTTATCAGTGCAGCTGATTCACTGTGATTAACTGAAGGTCGGGGACGTGCACAGTCTGCTGTGTGTCCTAACAGGAAGTGGAGCACACGCAGTCATACAACACTGTTTAAAATGTTTTAAACCCTAAACTGCTGAATTAATTCAGCTCTGCAGGGGTCAAGAAGGTGTCTGTACAAACTGGGTAAAACCCAAGAAAATTATGGACATTAGGCTGGAGGACTTTTACCAAAAGTCACTTTACCTGTGAGGTACTGCCAGGATCTGTGGAGTTTTTATTTATTTATTTATTTATTTACCATACCATACCATTTTATTTATAGAGCACTTAAAACAGCTACAAGGCCAACCAAAGTGCTGTACAGACAGAACAACAGACAACACACAAAACATATACAAAATGAGGTAAATCAAAAATATAGACATAAAATTGATGCAGATAATAAATATGATGACAAACTAGTGTGGAGCATACAAGTTCAAAACACAGATCATCTGGTGTTGAAAGCTACTGAATAGTAGTGAGTTTTTAAACGGGATTTGAAAATCAAGAGGGAGGGGGCCTGTCTGACAAGCAGAGGTAACTCGTTCCAAAGTCTTTGTCCTGCTACAGAGAAGGCCCTGCTGTCTCCTCCGCGCTTAAGACGAGTTCCTGGAACTGTGAGGAGCAACTGGTCCGCTGACCTCAGGGAACATGGATGGACATTCAATTGTAGCAGATCAGAGAGGGGGGGGGGGGCTGTTCAGTGATTTGTAGACATACAGAAGTATTTTGAACTGGATTTGAAGGTGAACCGGTAGCCAGTGCAGTGAGGCCAAAACTGGTGTGTGCTCTCTTTTGCCTGTACTGGTTAAAAATCGGGCTGCTGCATTCTGGACCAGTTGTAGTCGTGCAATGGAGGTCTGACTGATACCACACAGGAGTGAATTGTAGTAATCAAGCCTAGATGTAATGAATGTATGTATTACTGTCTCCAAGTTATTTTTGGACAATATGGGCTTCAGTTTAGACAGCTGCCTCAGTTGGAAGAAACATGATTTAACAATCATGTTTACGTGACTGTTAAGTTTCAGGGAAGGGTCCATTATCACACCCAGATTAGTGACTCTTTGTTTTTGGTATTTGGTTATTTTTGTTGGCCTTTTGGGTTTATTGTTAGGTTTATTCCTTTCTAGTTTTTTTTTTTCTGTTTGCCTGTGCATCAGTTAATTTGATCTCAGTTCAGCTCCTCAGTCCTGCCACGCCCACTCACACCTGTCCCTGTACCATTGTACCAATATTGTAGGCTCAGTTGCCTCCAACCATCTCATCATCCAGTCCTTCAGTTTATCCTCACTCATCAGTTCGCCAGTGTGCGTACATCATGTTCTCCTCAAGGTTTATTTTTTAATTTTATCAGTTTGCGAAGAGATGTAGCTAAAGCCAGATACAGCCTCTAGCCTTCACTCAGTTGCAGTTTAGCCCCGAGTTGTAGCATTTGATATCAGTGGACTCTGACAGGACTCTAATGTTGGGAGTGTCAGCGACCATCAGCCCAGTGACATAAATGCACTACTGATGTATGACCGACAACAGCTTCTGGATCTTCATTTTTCTGTCATCGATGTTGCTTATTTGGAACAATATGAGCGTACCTCTGGACCCCCCCCCTCCCCCCTGCTGGCGGACATGCTAGCTTACCTCCGCTGGGTTCCTCACCTCCCTGCCCGGAGACATCGCTTCAGACACCGGGGAAAACGTGCTGGGCAGCTGGTAAAGCTTAAAGCCATGCGCGCTGCCTCTTCCTCTGCAGCTGGTGGCCATGGTTTCCATCACCAGCTTCCCGCGTGCCCGGACCAGGTAAACAACGGGAGTTGTCGGCCGGTGCGCAGCTCGGACCGACCCAGAGGGGCTGTTATTGAAAACCTGCGGCCATTGGCGCAGGCAAACTTCACCGCTGCTGGCTCTACTTTGGACAGTATCCGGATGTGTTTGGTCAATGCAAGATCTGTTACCAACAAAACTTTTATCCTCAGGGACTACTTTCAAGAGTATGAGTTGGACTTTCTCTGCATCACAGAGACTTGGATGTCTCCGGGTGAGTCCAGTGCCTTGACAGAATTATTACCACCGAACTGTCTGTGTTTTAACGCCCCGCGGCCATCAGGCCGGCACGGTGGTGGATTATTAACAATATTCAGATCAACTTTTGACTGTAAACAATTGCCCATCCCAGTTTCCCGCACCAACTTTGAGCTGAGCGTCTTTGGACTGGGCAATTCGCCTCCGACGTTATTTGCACTCGTCTACCGCCCACCTCGATCTAAGGTTTCATAAATGAGTTTTCTGACTTCTTGGCTGAAATCACACCAAAATATAATCATGTTTTTATTTTTGGGGACTTTAATTTGCACGTGTGCTGTCCTGAGAAGCCCTTGTTTAAGGACTTTTTAGATTTATTGGACTCATTTAATCTAACACAGCATGTAAACGGTCCCACCCAAGAGCGCGGACATACACTGGACCTTGTTTTAACTCATGATATGACTGTTAGTAATCTTGAAATTGGTGATAATGTTTTTTCAGACCACATGCCAGTCCGGTTTGAGTTTACCCTCCCCCATCTAACACCTAAGCCGTGCATTCCTGCACGTCACAGCTGGGCCATTAACCACTTCACTGCCACACGTTTTACAGATGTTTATAACTCTGAAATGATAATTCAGCCCCCGGTGTTTCTCACCACCACTGAGGAGCTGACATCCCAGTTCAACTCTGTCTGCTTAAAGACTCTGGATCATGTTGCACCTGTTAAAACTAGAAAATCAAAACTCAGAGCAGAACCTTGGCTGAGTGATGTCACCAAGGCCGTTAGGCAGCAGTGTAGGAGGGTGGAGCGAAAGTGGAGGAAAGACAGGCTGCAGGTCTCTTTTCAAATACTTGAGTTGGCACTGTTATCAGAAAGCAGTGAAAGCTGCTAAATCCAAATACTTTTCTGATATCATAACCTCAAACTCTCACAACCCACGTGTCCTCTTCTCCACCCTAAACTCTGTTCTCCACCTCACTGAACCATCACCTCTGGAAGCCTCGACTGAGCTGTGCGAGAACTTCTTACATTTCTTTTTGGAAAAAATTGCTACCACCCGGGCTCTCATTTCCCCTCCAACTCATGACCCATCCATCCCACCTCAATCTGTAGCTCCTTTTGACCATTTTGAACCCATCACTCTATCTTCTCTAGAGCAGGTCATGTGCAGCTTGAAACCTTCTGGTTCCCCCTTTGATGTGGTCCCCCTTCGACTACTAAAGGAGGTTTTTCCCACTCTAGGTCCGTCCATTCTTGCCATAGTAAACAGTAGTTTATCCACTGTCGTGGGGCCAAAAATATTTAAACATGCTGCTGTCCAGCCTCTCCTGAAAAAACCAAACCTTGACCCCTCAGTCATGTCCAATTTCCGACCTGTCTCCAGACTCCCATTTGTTTCTAAACTACTGGAGAAAATAGTCGAGTCCCAGTTGAAGTGCTTCCTGGAGGGTCACGCCATCTTAGAGCTATTCCAATCTGGCTTTAAACCTCTCCACAGCACAGAAACTGCCCTGCTGAAGGTCTTTAATGACATTTTCTTAACCACTGATTCTGTTGATTCTGTGCTGCTTGTCCTATTGGACCTCACAGCCACCTTTGACACCATCGACCATGAGATCCTCATTGCTATGTTGGAGCAGTGGGTGGGCATCACAGGGTCAGCCCTCAATTGGTTCAGATCTTACCTCACTGACAGGTCCTTTTGTGTCTCCATCAAGGATTTTAGTTCTGCAACGGCAGAGCTTAAATGGGGGGTTCCACAGGGGTCCATCCTGGGTCCCCTCCTATTCTCTTTATACCTGCTGCCGTTTGGTGCTATTTTCCGGAAACACAACATGCCCTTCCACTTTACGCCAATGACTGTCAAATCTACTACCCCCTAAGACACAATGGCACATGCTCTATTCAATCTCTGCTCGACTGCCTGGCTGACATCAGGGACTGGATGGCTTTGAGCTTCTTAAGTTTTAATGAAAAGAAGTCTGAAGTCATGTTGTTCCCTCCCAATGACACAATCACAAACCACTGCATCGACCTCTCCACTCTAACCCTGTCAGAAAAGCAAAGAGTCACTAATCTGGGAGTGATAATGGACCCTTCCCTGAAACTTAACAATCATGTAAACATGATTGTTAAATCATGTTTCTTCCAACTGAGGCAGCTGTCTAAACTGAAGCCCATATTGTCCAAAAATAACCTGGAGACAGTAATACATGCATTCATTACATCTAGGCTTGATTACTACAATTCACTCCTGTTTGGTATCAGTCAGACCTCCACTGCACGACTACAACTGGTCCAGAATGCAGCAGCCCAATTTTTAACCAGTACAGGCAAAAGAGAGCACACACCAGTTTTGGCCTCACTGCACTGATTACCGGTTCTCTTTCAAATCCAGTTCAAAATACTCATGTATGTCTACAAATCACTGAACAGTTTCGCCCCCCTTATCTCTCTGATCTGCTACAACCGTATGTTCCACCACGTTCCCTGAGGTCAGCGGACCAGTTGCTCCTCACAGTTCCAGGAACTTGTCTTAAGCACAGAGGTGACAGGGCCTTCTCTGTAGCAGGACCAATAATCTGGAACAAGTTACCTCTGCTTGTCAGACTGGCCCCCTCCCTCTCAGTTTTCAAGTCCCGTTTAAAAACTCACTACTATTCAGTAGCATTCAACACCAGAGGATCTGTGTTTTGAACCTGTACACTCCACACTGGTTTGTCGTAATTATCTGCATCATTTTTATGTCTATATTTCTGATTTACTTCATTTTTTATATTGCTTTGTGTTTTGTTCTGTCTGTACAGCACTTTGGTTGGCCTTGTCGCTGTTTTAAGTGCTCTATAAAAAAAATGATATGGTATGGTATGGTATATGTCTCATGTTGATGAGATGACTGTTACCCACTTCCTGTTTGTATTACTAAAACA